ATATATATTTTTTTTTTCAACTTTGCTATTATTTTTCACTTTACGTAAGGGGCTGGACTGCAGGGAAAAGAAAATCGAGCCAACCATCAGCATTACTTAAAAGAGTCTGAGTCGTTCCCAGTTAGCATTGGAAAAAAGTCCAGTCAGTGTATTAACAAGTATCAGAAGAAAACTGCCAGCAGTGTTGATGCATCTCAGAAAGTTGCCAATGATGGCTTAGTACCCATTTCGAGCGACAGCGATCTGGATCTGGATGAACTCAAACATGATGAAACAAAGAAAAAGTCGAGTAGCAAGAAGAAACACAAAAAACGTCGCAAAAAGTCGGATTCACCAGACGTCGATATTGCTCTCCTTGTCAAAGAGTCAATCCACAAACTCGAACCAAAGAAAGAGCCAACAAAAGAGAAACGCTCCAGACCTGTTGCAGGTCGGCATCATTCACCGGAAAGACGTAAGCCCTTTCTTTGGCATCACACTTGCCCAGCAACCTCGAGACCGAAAAGGTGCCCAAAGTCGCCGCCAACAGTTCAGACATCTCGTAAAAAGTGCTCGCCCTCAAGGCCACGCAAGTCGTCAAGAAAGTCTGTATCGTTGTCGCCGACAGATGCTAGTGACGAGCTGCCACCAGAATCACCATCCTCACGAGGCAGCGTGACTAGACTTCTCAAAAAAGTCCGACGGCTTGAGCCATTTTCTTGCAAGGCTGGAGACAAAGGCTCCTCGCTCAAGGACAAGTTGAGCGGCATCATTAAAACGGAAACTACGGAGATAGCAAAAGCTGGGAATAAAGATGAAGATGAGCTGGTCAACAACACCAAAGTATCCAAAGACAACGACTCTTCCGCGGAGGTGGTAGAAATAGCCTACATCGTGAAAAGTAAACCAGTTGAGGAAACAGTAGATGAAAATTATCCAATTATAGAGATCAGTAAGAAAAACGAGGTTGACAAAGATGAAAAAGCAGAATTACCTAGGCCTCCAAAGAAAGAAAAAACAGATTTGGTAGTCAAAGCAGCGACTCCGCTACCTCCTATGCCGTCAGTCTCCACGTCATCTCGGCCATGTTCCCCTTTAAGGCCACCGGATGTCTCGCCTCCTCCGTCTCCATCGGTAAAACTCCCCAACTTTTGTATAGATGACAACGAAGAAGATTTAGAGCTACGAATGATTGCCTTGCGCTCAGCAGTACTGAAAAAACACCGGACGCGAATGCAAAAAAGTGGCATGCTGAAGAAAAGTGGATCGCAGAAAATAAAAAGCCCGTTTGACTCGAGTTTTCATCAAGACTTTGTGGGGCCAGCAGACGCCTGCTACACCGGAATCATGGTAGACTGTCAGGACGACATTTATTGCCCAGAAGATATGGATCTAGACTCTGATCTCGAACTGGACAAGGAGTTGTTGTCGATGGGCCAAGTTGAACTCGATTGGGCTCCCTCGCCTACCGACGAAATCGCTGATCAATCGTTAATGCTTGAAAACGCCATGAACGCACCTGAACGTGTGTCAACGCCGAAGCGAGAATATTTTGTAAATCAAAGTCTATATTCACCGACGAATCCCACGACGACTCCCTGCTCTTTTAAAGATTTTCAAAACTTTGAACGTATTACCGGCCCGCTGTTAAGCAAAGTAACGTGGGATGTGTCAGCAACGGGAGCCAATGATCTCAATGGCAGTATTTACGAACTCACGAATCCAACATTAAGACCCTACTCGCCTACAGACATGACTATTTACGATCCCGACTTACCAGGAGTGCATTCGACCGACGAGGGTAGCATTGGCACCAGTAAAAGTTTAGCTCCGCCGTTACAACCCCCTCCGATGCCGCCGATAAGTATAATGGATGTTGAAGAGTCGATAATGTTGGAATGCCCAACGAACGTACTCACAGGTGAGTTTGTGAAGCCGATGGCACCTCCGCCTTTACCGCCGCCGTCGCTGCTGGATAACTTTGCGGTAGTGTCCCAGCAAACGTTGACCCCGATTCTGATGACTACGCCAGTCTTGAGCTTTGCCACGCCTGCAGTGCCCATGGTCCCGATAACTTCGGCGTTGGTGAATGATGTCAGCTCGCCAGCTAGTAGTTTGGCCGAGCTGTTGAGTGGCGCGACCCAGACGGTAAGCGATCCAAGTCTACCGCTACAAAAACATGATGCATCGGTCGAGTGTAGTTTTAGAAAACAGCTTGCTATAAGCCAACAGCCAATGCCAATCGAAGCGGACAATTTTGGCGAGACTGACCTAGATGGCAGTCCATTGGTGTCGATGGAAAAAAATACTCCTCACTCATCTTCTACATGGCCGCTGTTTAGTGAAACGCACTGTCTATCACGCAACACGTTAAAAGTCACTCCTACTGCTGCGGACGGAGCTGCTCCAGCATTCGAGGACAGTTCAAAGAAGAAAAACAATCTTGTATTTGAATGCCCCTCTATTCTACCTACTGCGTCTAAACCCAAGATGAGCAATATTTTCAAATCTACGAGGGTTCAGGGTGTACCCAAAAAGGACGTGGCGATTTCGCCTGCCGCTGCGTTTAATGGGCCCGCACATGATGACATGGTTGAGGAAAGGTCTGATTATCAACCACGATTGCAAAGCATTAGCGAACGACTGAAACAATTGAGTAAAAATAAAGAACAAAATCTTGGCGCGAAATTGCGCAAAGGGAAGAAGCGAAAAAAAAGTGTTGTACCGAGATTCCCCAAAGTAACTATTGAAAAAAAGAGAGCGGCTTCCCAATCTTTGATAAATGCGGAAATGAAACTTGATCAAGCTCATCGCCGAAAAGAGATAATTTCCAAATCATCTGAAATTCATGAATGCCAGCAACAACAATCTGATAAGGAAATCGAAGTAGAAAATGAAACGAAAAAAGACATTGAAGATGACGAGGAAACACTTAGAGCACAATTATTAGCATCATTGACAAAAAGATTAAATAAAACTGTAACAACAAGAGTTGTTGCAAAGGTACAAGAAAAATGTTCTGTGACCACGCCTGCCAAGTCGATCATTGAAAAACTCCAAGACTCTAGGACCGAGTTGGCAAAGATGACGGCGTATTCAGTAGCCACGAAAAGACCAATGACGAATGGTATCACGAAAAATATCACAAGTATTATTCCAGTCTCAATAAAGCGATCACGGAATGCTCAACGAGAGTCATTGTATCGATTGGCTCAACAAAACTTGTCGGCAGCAACCAAGCCACAATCCAAGATAACCAATACCCAAGATTTGTCATCCGAGACATCATTAGAGCTGATGGATTCACATGTCGATCAAAGAGTCGTCATTAACGAGCCCAAAGAAAAAATAAAGAAGATCGAAATGAGCGTTGAACAATTTCTCAAAAACATTCGTCAGCAGCAAGAAGAGGCAGCTGCGAAAAATATATCATCGCCCAATCAAGTTTCATTGTCAGATTCTCTCAAGAAAAATGTAACGAGCAATTCAAATGCAACGGACGGCTCAAACGCGGTCGTGAATCAAACAATTGATCTTGTCTCTGATGCTACTACTGCTTCTACTGCTGATTTGTCTTCCACTACACCAGTGATTTTTACCAATTCTTCCCGCAACACAACAACAGCTAACAGCACCATTTTTACTCCTGCTACAGCTACTTTTGCAACGGTACGTTCAAGCATGGAAAAAGAAAAAATCACAGCAAACGACTTTGAAAAGCTGAGTTTAACGGCTACTCCACAGGTATTATATAGCGTACATTTTTTTTTAATTTTTTTTATTTTTTATCAATACCAATACTAATCAAGAGTTTGATTCAAATTATTTACCATTTTTTAGGCTGTAAAACATTTGCCACCATCACTGCAAAAAGAATATCGTCGCTTGAAACAACAAATAATCGAACGCGAAAGGTTGAAACTCCAAAAAGCTAAAGAGGCAGCCACCACTACCAGTGTTGATTCTACATTTATAGTCTCAGCCTCGGTAACAACAACGTCAGCACCACTTGGGAGTTGTAAAACTCCTACCAAAGTTGTTGAAGTTTCACAAGTTTTTACATCCTCAACTCCTACAGTGACAACGGTATCCACAACTGCAAAAACAAACAATACTTCCATAAGTTTTTTCTCATCTTCATCCAGCTTAACTCCAAATTCGTCACCGATTTTCACTTTAAACCCCCCGGTAACGAGTACTCCCTTGGACAAACAAGTTTCGTTAAGGCAAAATACAATGATATCGGAAACACCAGTAACGACTGCGGCGGTCAATAATTCGCTGAAACAACAAGTCCAAGTTCCAATTTCAACTGTCAATAAGTTATCAATGGTAGAAATGTCTAGAAAAACATCTCCAAGACCATCAACCGCTACTATTTCCAAGTTAATGGTAGATAAAAACAATTTGATTAATTTAGTGGCATCAGCGAGCTCTCGTAAGTTAGCACCTCAGTCTCAAAACTGTTCTGGTATAAATAATTTGAGCAAAGAGCAAGCTGCCCTTTTGGATAAAATGAATAGTGTTCTTAATAGCCAAAAAAAACAAATATCCGCTGTGGCGCAAAAAGTCTCAACTCTTAGAATTTTGACGAAAGATCAGATTAATCTAAAAACTCTTCAAGTACCGTCGAAAATCTCGAAATTAAAGACTTGTACTCCCACGGATGATTCGACTAAATCTAGTCAAAATATTTCAACAACCGTAGAAGAGAAAAGTGAACACGAAGCACCTTTTGCAAAAAGTGCAAAAGAAGAAAGTGCCAACGTAGTAGATAAGAGTATGAAAAACCAAGACAGTGCACATCTCATAAAGGCAATAAATAATCAATCAACCTCGAAAAATCTGGCTCAAAATACCATTGATCAGTCTACATCGATGAATGCGTCCCCAAGTACGGAAAAATCGACATTAGGTTGGACAAAGTTTAAAGACTTGGTTGATGACGAGGTAGACTCTCTGTTTGACCTTCCTGTCATGAAACAAAAGCAACTTTTAACAGAATCTGAAGAAAAATTAATTAGCAAACGGTAATTTTCGTTTTTTCTATTTTGTTTTGCCAAATTGCTAAAAATAATCTTGCAATAAAGTTTTAAACCCTAAATTTACTTATTTGTTACTTTCACAGGCACTCGGTTTTGGACGATATCACAGAAATGTCGGGCTCTCTTAGACAGTGGGAAATTGAAAGGGATCTACAAAATACCGTGACCCAAGAAATCCAAAAACTTCGAGAACAACTGAGAATGGCAGAGGGAAAATTACAGCAACAGAAAGAAAAAGTAAATGCTATTCAACCCAAAGTCTCAATGTACCACGAGAAAATTAATAATGGCAGAAAAGAATGCTTTAGACTTTCTAAAGTGTGCGATAGCCTTGGACAAACAATTTTTGGACCTAATTACAAGTACGTTATTTACTTATTTTTTTTTTTTTTTAATTTTTTTTATTTTTTCATTTCCCACATATTTTGTACAAGTTTTTATTTTTTTATTTTTTTTTTTTCAATGTTTATGTATTTTTTTCCGAATTTTAGAGTCCCTACGGCGGGTGCAGAGCTTTTAAATAATAGAATTAAAGAAGTTGCTACTCATACTCAGAAACTAAAAAGCAAAGCTAATCGCTCAAATCTGAATAGACATCCAATTCCAGCTAAAATGAAAAGTAGTCCAAAATGTCGAAAAAATTTCAGTATGAAACCTAATGTCCAAAAATCTCAGAACTCTCACGATTCACATTTGAATAAAGCTGCCATAATAGATGATGTTGAAAATTTTGTAAATGATAATTTGGCACTGATTGACAAACCAAATGTGTCAAATATAAACAACCCCAATCAAATGAAAACTGAAAGTCGAACTGCCAAAGAAATTAATGGTGATTCATTGAAAGAAAACAACATAATCATTTTCGATGGTAAAAATAACAACTCCTCCACGACTTTAAATAACGCAAACAATTTGATAAATGAATCTGTTGAGGGTGTAAAAACGAAAAAAATTAATGGTAAAGTTTCAATGGTAACTAGGCGTGTTAATTCAATTTCAACGGATGATGATAATTCTTGTATTTTAATTCAAGATATCCCTAGAAAAATAGAATCTAAAAGTCGATCAACTTTTGATAATTTTACCAAGTCAATCACGTCTTGCAGTAATACAAACACTAAAGTACGTAGTGGTTATGCACTGTCCAACAATTCAAATTCCGAGTACCCGGTTAATATTAAAATCAATCATCCAAATTTATCCAATCGAATTAAAGATAAAAAAATCTTTCAAAATGCCACAACTAATGGGGTTGACAATGAAAAGTTACCATCAAACGAAAGTAATAACGATAGTCATTTGAACGACGTTGTCGATGATAATATGGAACCAGTGTGTAGTAAAGAACGTCTGAGTGATGAAAATGCGTCAGTGACGATTCTTGATGAAAATTTAGAAAGTACGTCAATGACATATGCCAAAAATAATCAGATCGACCCAAGTTTATCGAAAACTGCTGGTCTGAATTTTATGACAGAAAATAATGGTGATTCACAAAAGTCAATTATTGAGTGCACGGCGGACTCTAGTGATTCAAATAATGAAAATGTCATAAGCCGTGAAAAAAATGTAGTCAACAGTGTAAGAAACGTAATAGTAAACAGTGAAACAGACTCTTCTGCCAAAATCGAACATTCCACCTTTTTAGAGGAAATCTCATTAAAAATGGCAAATACCATTCAAGTTCCAAAAAACATTCATGTGTATGACCAAAAAAAACCACATAATTACAATAGAATTTTATCAAAACAAATTATGGGTTGTAATGATGAATTAAAAAACTATGCAGTCATGAAAAAGAATATCGTTCAGCCTTATGAATCAATTTTAAAGCATCTACACGAACCAAGGTAAAAAATAAATATTTTGGATCAATACATGTAAATTTTTCAGCCTTAATGCACCTTGGTGTGTAATTGATTGATGAGTAGTTTCGAATTATCCTTGCTTCCAAAATTTAGAAAAAAAAATATTGATGGGATCCTTTGCCCATACGAGCTCATTGGTACCTGTAACGACGAAGACTGCCAATTCATACATCTATCCGCTAGTCATTGTTCATAAATTATTTCCTGGCTAAGGTTCTTGGAATATTTTTCTGTCCCAAGTAAGTTTGTCTCGTTTAAAAAAAAATTGTAATTAATTAGTAAGTCGCAGTTGTAATAAAAAGTTACTTTCAAAAGAAACAATAATCTAAAACGCTAATTGTATTAAAATGACGTGAACACAAATAGTAATTAATTTTAGGTATCGTCGCAAGTAAATCATGTTTTTCCATAACGTAAAGTGGATGCGTCACCTCATCTACAAAGATTGGTAAGTCAGCTTTGTACTTGACAGGATTTTTTTATGGTGATTTGTTACTCATTTTTTTACATTGTTCTCAAGATTTTATAGCGTTAGAATTTAATGTCTTGTACATCACTGTTGTTTTTTTTTTTTTTTTTTTTTGTTTTTTTGTTTAATTGGTTGATAAAAGTTTCATAATTTATTTCCTTTGATTTTCTAATAGTACCTTTAATCTATAAATATGTAAAAAGCCCTAGTAATAAGGATCCGTTTTATCAATAATGTATATATCATAAGACAAAAATAATTCATATCAACATAAAAAGTCAAGATTTGTGTAATCTTTCAAGAGGACAACTCACTGTTTGAAGAAAAAGCGCAAGTGATATTTGTAATTTAAGCGTTACGAAATTATTAATACAACACAATCACGCATACATGTCGAACGGCAAAATGTATGTATTGTACAAATAAAGTTAATTTTTAAAAATACTGTCTATTTGATTTTATAAAATATTTTCGTCGGAAGGTACACCTCAAAGTGATACTTCAAATCATCTCTTGGTTTATGCACAAGGTCAAGCTTTTATTTCCCGTAAGGTGCTTTACCAAAAGGACCATTTTTATTCCATGGCATGCGATTTTCACTCCTGTACTCATCCCAGCGTTCAATCCAAGCATTTGGACATATTGACTTGTATACGTCTATCGAGAAGTTTTACGATTTGTTTTATTTATTTATTTATTTTTTAAATATCAATTTACCTTGGAACCAAGTGCATGCCTCGTGTCCTTCACCAAGCAAATGTTGGCAGTTGAAAAAGTCTTTGTACATAACGTAACATCTCAACGTTTGATCTTGCTGTTGAAATCTAAAATTTTTGCAACCATTTTTATCAATTTTTTCTTTGATAAGTTGGAAAAAAAGTAATTGTGGTCCAGAAACATTCAACTATACATTGATTTTATCGACTGTAAAGATTAATCGTCGATCAAATTAACGTACCGTGGGTCAAGACCAGGTGTTTTGAAGATTATCGGCGCTTGTGGTATTTCAGCTTTGGATGCACAAGGATCATCTTCGTCTTCCAGTATGATTGCAGATTTCGCCTCTGTGTTAGAAACTGGCTTGAATTTAAGATTTTTTTGCTCCTGCTCATTCGTATTTTTTATTTTCGAATACATCTCTTTACCTTTTCACTTTAAATAATTTATTTAGTTTCGTAGCGTAGCAGCGCAACTGTTTTTTTTTTTTTTCTTCACTAAACGCAACTGACAGACGATAGTTTTTGTTTTATTACATGGAACCCATGTAAATTCTACATTTTTATGAATGTTCTGATGACAAATGAATTACTCGTGAGAAAAAAATTCATAACTTACAAAAAATACTGTATTAGTACCGGAACCCTAAACTTGGCAGAGTGAGAGAGATGATGTGTATACGATACGTGGCGGGCCCGGGGGGGGGGGCGGTGTTGATAAACAAACTCCATAATTGCTGGCTTGTCACGTCAAGTATACAAGTATATTAAGCAAAAAAGGAAATGTAGTGTTTAAACTTGTTTTTAAAAAAAGTTTTTTATTTATTTTTTACATTATAATGTCATTCGAGACATATTGGTTCTACTTGAGTGCTTCTCTTCTGGTCCTTGTTATTTTGGTGGGTAATTTAGAGGTTATACACTATTTTCTGTATGTTATAAAAAAATTTTGTTATGATCAACATTCATGAGTAGAGTGTGAATTGTAATAACAAAGTAATTTCACTCGTAAGTAAGCATCAAAATGTGTTTGTCGTTCCAGTGTGCCACTGTCATTTACGTGATGTGTAAGTACACAGATGTGTATCCAAAAGTGGTACGCTGCGAAGAGGAAAAATTTTTTTTGGATCCTGCATCAGGGACGAAACGCACATTTCCATCGCTAGCAGATGATTGGAGTATAAATCTAAGTGTAATTGTTCCTGCTTACAATGAAGAAACAAGATGTAATAATATGTGATACCTCACTTGTCGTTCCTCACTTGTAAAAAACATGTTCATTGTAGGAATAATTACAAATTTCTTACAGTGCCATCCATGTTGGATGAATGTTTAAATTACCTGGAGGAGCGTAAAAAGTCTGGACTTTTGTATGAAATAATAATAGTCAGCGATGGTAGTACAGACAAGACTGTTGACGTTGCACATTCTTATGCTAAAAAGTACAGTTGCATTAGAGTACTGGCATTAGTAAAAAACAGAGGCAAAGGAGGTGCCGTAAGACTGGTGGGTATTGTAACTGTTTTTTATTTTTTTTTATTTTTTTTTTTTATTCCAATATCATGGTTAAATATTGATTTAATAATTGATCAGGGTATGCAGAGTGCCAGGGGTAGCGTTTTATTGTTTGCTGATGCGGATGGTGCTACGACGTTCAGTGATCTAACAAAATTGGATGAAAGTCTTAGGAACGTTCTGGGATGTAAGTACCTACCTACCCACTATTTTAACAGTAACATATTTTTTGTGAGTGTCTGCGAAAAAAGTTTTCTGATTTTTAACCGAGTTGAATTGACTTGACTCAAGTTGACTACGTCTCGTCGCCTGGTGAAACAGCATCTGCACACGCCATTATCTGTGGCTCGCGTGCTCACCTGGAGGAAGAAGAAAAGGCCAAGCGTTCGCTTTTCCGGTTATTACTGATGCACGGCTTTCATTTTCTCGTGTGGTTCTTTTGCGTGAAGGGTGTCCATGACACGCAGTGTGGCTTTAAATTGCTGACTCGCGAGTCGGCGCGACTTGTGTTTGCGGCTTTGCACGTCGAGCGCTGGGCCTTTGACGTCGAGATGCTGTACATTGCTGAAGTACTTGGATTGCCGGTGACGGAGGTCGCCGTCGAGTGGCAGGAGATCGAAGGCTCGAAAATCGTGCCCGTGTGGAGTTGGCTGCAAATGGGTCGTGATCTCATGCTCATCTCATTGAGGTATAAGCTAGGTGCCTGGAAGATCCTTAAGCCCAAGACAAGTTGAGACGAGCAAACCCCCGATAGGAACTATTTGAAAATTGACCTTCCTGTGTGTGTTTTACTTGCAATTTTCTTGCTATCTTCAAATCCATAACTCCTGGATTTTGTAAAAATAGTACTTTTACGAATCTTTATAATTTGTACAAGTTGTAAATAGTAAGTCGAGCAAGTTTACAATATTTTTGATGATTTTGCCACAACAATGGTCCAGTACGTTTTAAATTTATTATTCTAATGATATGAAAACACGAGCGCATTCGTATCAATAGATTTATACACACGTTATAATGTTAGAAAGGTGCGACTATTAAATGTATAAAAAAACATTAAATTGAGTTAGTATTTCATCATTGTATATCCTGCCAACTTAAAATTTCCCGTAATCTCTTGAAAATCTCGTACAAAGAATACTATTTGGAATTGACGAAACACTCTAACGAAAGACAAACTTATGTAAATATTAATGCCAGCTCCTTAGACACCACAACTTGATTTCCTTAAAAAAATTTAACACTGTTTTTTCGCATCATTTAATTATTGCGCCCCTATGCTGGACGTCTTGCGCGATGCGCGATAAATGAAATAATCAAACCAAAGCCGCGCAGGTAAGTATGTGTGTGGCGTAAACAAACATCTGGTGATGAATCATTCATGCTTTCACTCACGCTCTGCAGTGAGCTGATGGTTGAAGTTTACTCAGTTCATTGTAAACAAGCACACCACAGCTAATACACACATAGCTGATTTACCAAATTACAAAAAATATTTTTACTATTTAATTGAAGCAACGCAACACACGATAATAAAGTAAGTTTTGAACTTTTTGATAATTGCTATTGTATCATCATATGTATAAAATACGCATAAAGTTGTCATTGTAATTAATTTCATAAATTTACGCAGCATGTGTGAGCATACATATTTCAAAGTTGAGTACACGAATATAAATTATATGTACTTTTAATGCGTTCTGTTTCCTATACTTTGATGGGGATGTTTTTTATTTTTCAACAAAAATACGAGCGAGCCAAGCTCACGAATGAGTAGATTCTGGTTATGTTTAATCTTTCGCCTGTCCTATTTTTTTTTTATTTTCCGCTTATAACCACTTTGGCGCACTTTGGATAAATACAATAAAAACCCAAAGAATTAATTAATTAATTGATATGCTGGTTGAAATGCATGCACACACGTTGACACTCCCGGTGGTATTTAAGTTATAAACATCAACAATTGATTTTCATTCAACTGTAAATTTTTTGCTCTCAGGAATTAAGTATCAAAGAAAGCCGTAATCATTTAATCTGTAAAAATGTCGTACATTCCGTCGCTGCCGAGTCGCGAATTTCTCTGGGATGTATTTCAAAGGTAAGTAGGTAGTTGGCAAATCATTTTTCACCTTGACGTGTGTCGGGGTAAGTAAATGGTTCATCAGTCGCGTTGATATCATAACTTTCATTATTTTGCAGAGTGGATACGGATCGTTCTGGAGAAATAACAGCTAATGAGTTGCAACGAGCACTTTCAAATGGCACATGGGAACCTTTCAATATGGAAACTGTACAGTTGATGATTGGTGAGATTTTAACTTATTCAATGTGCAAAATAGTTGTTTGACGGTTAAATTTTTTGTCAACACGTATTTAGGCATGTTTGACACTGAAAAAAAGGGTTCGATAAGTTTTGAAAAATTTGGTGCTCTTTGGAAATATGTAACAGAGTGGCAGCAATGCTTTAGGTCTTTTGATCGTGACAACAGCGGTAGCATCGACCAGAACGAACTTAAAAGTGCATTAATTAGTTTTGGGTATCGTCTGTCGGACCCAATGATAAACACTTTGATGCGCAAATTTGATAGAATGGGCAGGGGAAATATTTTTTTCGACGACTTTATTCGCTGCTGCGTTGTTTTACATGTAAGTATCTATTTGTGAATTTTGATCATTGATGAAACTAAAGTTTTTCCGCTTGGAACAATGTTTCTTTCATTTCATTTCATTTTTTTCAGACCCTGACGACAGCATATCGAATCGTCGACGGCGTCATCAAAAATATCAATTATGAACATTTTTTGGGAATGGTACTCAGTTTGAAAGTTTGAGAAAAATTGATTTCTACATGATTTGTTGTGTGATGTTTTCTACGTTGTGTATTATTTACTAAAAGTTATCTAATTGTTCGTTAAAGCCAATAATTAAGGTTTGCCAAAAATGTTGCCAAATTCTAGAAGCATTGATATTTGTGTACATGTTTTTTTGTCTTGAAACGTACAGTTTCAACTTTAGTTCTCTGTATTACCATTATAGATTATTAATGAATGGTTTATTCAAACACAAATACTGTACCAGTGCTGTTTATCAAGATACTTAACCAACTTGCAGAAAGGTTAATAATTTAATGAAAACGACAAGCTTATTTATATTAAAAATTTTTTATTTCGATTAAACGTAAAAAATTTGTTGATTATGCTTTGGAAAAATGATTATTTTATCCAATGATACAGTGTAAGATTTTTTATGTATATTTTTGTACTTATCTGTTAATAATCATATAATTGAAATTTATATTCCAATAAAAAATAATTTTTGCCATTTAAAAAACGCAATTTTTATTTACTACGTCGACTAGTAACTCTTTACTTGGACAGTACTGGCAATCTGAGGGTCATAAGACCGATTCGTAACAAATATGTAAACATACGACAGAGCGCGCGCGGTGTAGGTATATACTTAATATAAAAGCATCGTGGACGACGACGAGTATGTTGGAAAGCTGCACGCGGTAGGTTAATGCAGCAGGTAACTCGCTTGTGAAACTCAAAACAATAAAGAAATTTGTTTGTTTAATTGGTTGTTTACGAAAATAGTTAAAGTGATGGATAGTTTATTAGAGTTACTTTTTGATTTGATGAAATCACCACCAATCACCATATCTTTGACGTTACTTTTTGGTTATGGACTACACAAAGCTTTTAAAAGGAAAGAAAATGCAAGTCAACCAGAAAAGCGAGCCAAGGAAAAGGTGAAATTCACATTTCAACAGCTACTTAATATTTGGTCAAACGTTTTTCCATTAATCATTGATTTGATGCTAAAATTTATGTTTGTAGAGTGATTCAGGATCAGAATCATCCTCTAGTTTGAGTGATGATGGTAGTAGCGCTGGCGATTACTGTAAATTAGTGTTAATTGTTAGGAATGACTTAAAAATGGGAAAAGGCAAAGTGGCTGCTCAGTGTGCACATGCAGCAGTTGCAGCTTACAAGCAAGCTACAAAACATCCAAGTATACTAAAGGCATGGCAAAACTGTGGTCAAACTAAAATTGCACTCAAGGTGAGGTCTTTCATTGACATCTTGTATTGAACTTTCAACAGACACTGCATTTATGCAATATTAATAATTTCATAAAATTTTTAGTGCGACAACGAGACTGAAATGTTGAGTTTGTACGAAGCTGCAAAGGCAATAGGCCTTTTATCATACGTTGTTCGCGATGCTGGTCAAACTCAAGTGGCGCCTGGTAGTTTGACTGTATGCAGTGTTGGTCCAGGTCCATGTGAAACCATTGATGAGATAACTGGACACTTGAAGCTGTATTAAATATTTTCAATTATTTACTCTTTAAGGTCATTTGTCTTATTTAGCATTTTTCAAATCTCATTTTATAAATAATTTAATTAAATGAAACTGAAAATTCAACCCACTTGGTACATGAAAATACTCTGGGAAATATATTTAATTAACGATATTTCCTGACTTGATGTGTAATAAGCCCATTTATTTTTTCTAAAACATGTTGGTGTAACGTACATACAAGTTTTGAAAGTAAAATTTAAACAATGCCTTTGTATGCAGCAACAACATTGATACAACTGTTTAACTTTCAGTGAAAATACATATGGCAAAATTTGCTCTCTATTTCTTTTTATTTTAATATTTCAACAATTTCTACGTATCGACCTCATTTTTTTTTTTTTTTTTTTTTTTTTTAATTTTAACAAANTCCCTGTGAGACATTGCTTTATAGGACGGTGCGTTAGCATGCTTCAGCTTCGAGGGCATTCATTATCCGCGAGAGCACCGGAAAAACCTAAGGTATCCGGTAAGGTCCGCTATCTACACCCAAAACGTCTTTATAGTTTTTTTTTTTTTTTTTTTTTTTTAATTTTAACAAAGACTCGTTTATAACAATTATGTTAATCCGTTTGGTATTTTCACAATTTTCCGAAATGTAATAATTGAAAAGTAACAACAAATAAATTGTATTTATCGAATCGTAATAAATATAACGCGATATTGATAATTATCGTTAACAATTATACGTTTTTGTTAATATTTTTAGAATACTGAAAAAAATTGTAGACTTACAAATGACCATTACTATACGGAAATTTTGTACTTTGTCAACGAAAAGTAAAACAGTCTTTCTGAATTACGTGTATCGTGATGATAAAAGCCGCGTGTACATAAATGACAAAGAGTCTAGATTGCGACGGGCGGAGGAGGCGCCTTTCTGCGCGTCTTGTGGCTACTGGTGACGCTGCACTGGGACTCGGCGATAGACCGGCCGTCCGCCTCGTCTCTTCGGCACAGCTCCGCCTCGTTTTGCAGCCAATTGGTCGTCTGGCTGTGCCCGACGATTATGCTGTTCATGCTTATCACTTGATCCTGCTCCTCGGAGTTTGGATCCCCGACCACGTCTTCAAAGTGCTCGAGCAACTTGGTGAGCGAAGGCGCCAATCCTAGGCCAAGTTTCTTCTCGTGGTAAACCTCCGTCAAGCTCGTCAAGCTGCGCACGTTGCCGTAGTGATGGCCATTTTGCTGATGCTTCGGTTGGCGGTACGCGTCATACGGTTCGGAGTTGTTGCCGCAGTCCGTCCCGAGTTCGTCGCTGCCCTGTAGCAGCAGCGCCGACTCGACGGCCTCGACGGCCGAGGCCACAGCGGCTGCCGCCGCCGACAGGGACGACGTGTTGGCCGATGCAGTAGGAGAACCAGTCGGCTGTTGTTGCGTGCTCGTTGGCCTACGGGGTATCGCACCCAGCTCGCTTCTGACGCTCAAGCGCTCGAGTACCGTGTGTGGGAGGGCCGGGGGTACGGCCTGCCGGCGCAACACGGTACCGTGCCCGTCCTCCTCCCAATCCGTGGAGCCGCTGGAGCTCGAGCCCGTCCTCGGTCCGCACTTTTCCGGGTAAATGGCACCTCGGCCCACGCTCAGGCTCGACCCAGGCTTGTCCACTGCAATCATAAATCCATTCCAACGTGGCGCAATCTCTCTCTCTTTAAATGCGTGTACACTGCTGTTCTCGACTCGAGACCACCGACCTTGAGGTTTCTGCAGCAAATTGAGCCGTGAAAGCGATCTGCTTGGAGATGACCTCTTTCCGTCGGGCTCGCCGCGGTGTCTCACGTAACCGGCGTACGCCCCCCCAAGTCGTGGCCCGCTCTCGGACGTCACTCCCCCGTTGCCATCGCCACTACCGCCAGCTCCTCTCTCGGCCGCCTGATGTGGCGCCGCTAGGCTCTCCATCGAACTGGCCGAGTCCAAGCTCAGACTTTTCGGGGCCTCTTGCGTATCTGGAAGGGTTATTGAGGATGATTGCCGCTCTACGATCTTTGTTCATCAAAAATGGTGAAGTTAAAAAATTAAGTAATAAAAGGCTTGCTCACCAAATAGCGCGAGAAGGGCCTGGAGGGCAAACTGCACTGCCCGCCTCGACGCCTGCTTGCCGGTTCTCAGCTGTACCTCGAGCTGGCCCACTTCCATGAGATCAAAGCCAAGACTGGCAAAAAGCTCGTGCGAGCCGGGTATACGCCAAACGCACACGGGCAACCTGATCTCTTGGCCTTCGACGGCGCAACTGGCTCGTCGCATGGCCGCTATCACGTCCTCTGCCGCTTCGGGTGCCTATACGCACGTACTTACCATTATTATAGGTATATTCATCGGTCATTGTTACACGGAGGAAATTTTAGTATTATACGTGGTCAATAAAAGTCACGACCTCGAGGAGCCGAACGAGAGCCTGGAGGGAGACTTGGCCAAGGCCAAGGAGAGCCTGTAGGCTGGCGCTGCACCTGGTGAGCCGTTCCTCCGGGTCGCTCTGTGGAAAGAACACCGAAGACTGGATACCATTGCCGGCGGGCTCGAACCGAAAGCCCTTGATCGATTACAATGGGTACATTATCATCATCATCATCATAAGTAAACGATAAAACCAAATGATGCAAATAAAAATATGTAAGCGTTGTCGTACCACACTCATGAGGAGTTCGCGCCAGCCCTGAGCCGAGCCCACCTTGTTCTCGATGCTCGCGAGCGTAGTGTACATGGCCGATTTTTGACCGCAATTGATGCGCTGCAGTGACTGATGAACAATGCGCAATGCATATACGTTCAATGTCCTTATTCCCATCTCGTTGATAATAAATAATCATAATAATTAAAATTATCTTTACCTTTTCGACGAGGTGCAAAGTCACGCGCAGCGCGTCCCGGCTCTTTTCGGGCCCGTTGGCCAGCATCTCTGCCAATGCCTGTCCCATCAGGGCCACCTATTAATTATAGCAACATGTTGTATTTACAAATAAGACAAAGCAGGGGATTACGGTGTGTGTATGATGATATAGATATACCTTGTTGGATAGTCGAGCGTCGGCGCCCAGTAGTAGCCAGCCAGCCCAGTTGGCCGGGTGAGCAAAGTGCCGGGTGTGCTGGACCGTCTGCATCGCTTCGGCTAGAGCCCGGCTAGCCTGTTGGCCCTGAAGGAGAGCACTGCAAAAATGAAAATTGTTTGGTCGTAAAATGTTCATATACGTGTAGTAACTTATACATACATAATATATACATATCATCACATTGCATGATAAAAGGAGTACTTAATAACAATAATACAAGAACCTGTAAAAGGCACGTAGAAGAATACTGCCTGCGGTCGTGGGCACTGGCCATAGGGCGACGAGGATGCACTGGGCACCGGCAGCGAGGAGACCACGCGCGAGCCGGTGTAGCCCGTCGACTTTGACCGGTTGCGCCTCGGCCCAGTGGCCGCTCGACACGACGACCAGCCGAGCCGCCAGTCTGCCGCACTCATCCTGCGATCGACCCGAATCGCAAAGGTCCAGCAGATGGTCGGGATTCCCGGTGGCCGGCTCCCCTTCGCATTGCTCCGACGCAAGTCCGAGGCAGCCATCCGGCTCCCAGAACACGGGCACCGTCAAATGCACGCACTCGGCGTCCGCCAAGCTACGCAACACGGCCGAGCGCGTCGCCTCCGCTCCTGCAGCGATAGGTAAGTATACGTGCATCACCAGTAAGATTTGATTTTATTCAAACTCACGTCCCACATGATTATTAAGTACATTATTAAAAAACCACATTTGCAACAGATATTATACACCTATACTTAAGGCAATACACACTCGTTGGTGATTCATCTGGTTATCATCGAGGCTTGTACTTAATATTACTGTTGAACGGCATATTATTATTATTATTATTGTTATTATGCATTATACCAATGAGAGGCCTAGTCTCGAGCAATTCGGCAACTATGTTGGCCTCCGCCTCGGCTGATGGGACGCTCTCGAGCCAATCGTGCTCCTCGCGCACTTTGACCGGTAAACTCGGGTCCCCGACCACCAGAGCAGCCACCGACGCGCTACCCTCCGGCATCGGGCACTTGAAGCGTCGCCTCAGCACGCTCAGCGACGGCACGACTAGCAACGAAAATCTCTCGCAGAGGTAGTCATCTCCTGTGCGATACGCAAGGGTTATTCGTACGATTAACGTGGGGGGGGGGGGGGGAGGAGGAGAGAATAATACATATGTATGTATAACATAATTGTATACCCGATTTGGACTGGAGTGCAGGCAGGGGGGCCAAAAACAGGGACGGCTCGACGACGAGGACGAGTTGTTGCCTCGGTGGTGGAAGCAGATCCTCAAAAGGGGCCAGAAGCAGCTCGTAGAGGCTCTGAAGAGCCGCCGGTGCCTGCCATACTGTGCCACCAACGACTTCCTGCTGCTGTTGGGCCCAACGCACGCTACCCGTGCGCGAACTAATGGAATTCAAGCTAAAAAGCGAGGACAAGCTGTACGAGCTCGCGTTGAGCCGGTTGCCACGAGCCGGCATTTTGGCGTCCTCGAGGTTAAGCATCTCGGATCCGGCATTATCTCCAAGTAAAAGGGCCTCCCGAGCCTTATGGGACATTTGGGCAAGGCTAGGATCTCCCGCGAGGCTGCTCCTTACGAATCGCAGGAGCCCACGACCGGGAGCCAGGCACCAGCCGTACAGCTCTTGTTCTTCGATGACCTCGCTGTAATAAATAACGATGCCTCGTTGCCTGTCCACGATCTCGGAGTAATGAGTAGCCGCGTCCTCCCGAGATGTGGGGCCCCCCGAGCGCCTCGCGTTCTCCGCCCAACCGAGAGCCTCCTCGTTTCGTCCCAAGCTCACCAGTATCTTTTGCAGTGTCCGAGACTGCGACAGATTTTTTTATTGATATTCATTTCTCACAACCTTAAATCAATTTCAATTTCTCTTGTTTTTATAATTACCGTCTGTGAAAGAAGCTCCGCCCGGCTGGGCTGCTTGGGACAGCTAATTATCCTCGGGGCAAGGCCCACGGGGAAGCCATCATCACCCGAGTCCAATAGAGCCGCGGCCTTTTCCAGCTGCTTAAAGGCGGCTTCCGCGTCACCGTTGGCCCAGTACACGAAGCCAATCCGATGGTACAGTCGTGCTACCTCCTCTCGATGACCCAAGCCCTCCCACAGAGCAAGGCTCGATTGCAGGAAACTCAGGGCTCGCTGGAGGTCTCCTGCGTTACACATACATACGGTTTATCCTAATTTCGAATTTCCAATAATATTGTCGTAATATAATCGAGCTATAATCGAGGACCAATTTTATTTATTTATTTATTTATTTAATGTATACCTCGCAAGTGATGGAGACGCCCGAGGCCGGCAAAGGCCGTGGCTCTAGCGGGGAGGTCCGCTGCCTTGGCCGCGAGACTTAGCGACTGTTGTTGCAGCCGAATCGCCTCCTCGTGCTGTCCGAGGGCCTCGCGGGTCGTGGCCAGATTGGCGCAGGCCCTCGCCTGGAGACCGGCGTTACCAAGATTCTCGGCGATCGCGAGCTCGAGCTCGTGGTGCTGAAGCGCGACGCTGGGCTCGTCCATGAGCAGGTGCACGGCCCCGAGGCTGCTCGCGGCCTCCCCCTCCAAGTTTTTGTCACCAAGGCCACGCGCGAGTGTCAACTGGTGGGTCAGGCAGCTCACCGATTGCTCGTAATTTCGCAAACTCGCGTGTATTCGGCCTGAGACGTGTAATATAATTTGTTGGTTTTTGTTTTTTCTTTAGTGAGTGTGTCGAGTTATTCTATAGTCTTGTACCGAGATCGCCGTAAGCGGCAGCTCTTGATTCGGGACAGTCGGCCTCGTGGGCGGCCAGCATGAGAATTTTCTCGAAGCAAACCAGAGCCTCGTGATGATTTCCAGAGGCCTCCCTAGCTCGGCCCAAGCCACGGTAAGCCTTCTCCTGCTCTTTGACGTTTCTTAATTGTAGCGCGGCCGCGAGCTGTTGTTCGTAGGCACTGATGGCCTCCGTCGTCTGACCCAAGGACACGTAGCAGTCGCCCAAATTGCCGAGGGCTCTGATTTTTTCGAGTAGCGTCGTGCCTGCACCCGTGGCTCTCGTGTCGCTCGACCACGATTGCTCGAGGTACACGAGCTCCTGCTCAAAGTAATTTATTGCCTCATCGTAATGGGCCATGTTCAGTTGAGCTATTCCCAGATTACCTGTGTGTACGTTATAGGTGTTTAATTAATACCTACATATACAAAATATTATTATTTCGATGCGAAAACTCGGTATGATATTGTATATTATCAGCTAAACAATAACAAAGGAAAACATTTGGATGATCACGACGCGTGAGAGTTGTTTTACTCAATTTTCCATGCTTGTATATTCAAGTAAGTAAAAAACATAATTACAACGTACAACAATCATTCACGTTATCTCAAGTCCACCACCCCACAAACTGTTTAAACTTTTTTCAAATACTAAATCATTCGAAATCTTATCTTAAACGCTCCAATTGGCAATGGTGCGGTAAATTATAATAATAATAATAATATTAATATAATTATCCCATCCATTCCGAGCCTACTTTGAAACTAATGTTCTCACCTAAGGCCTGTGCCTCGATATCCAAGTCTGCGAGCTCCCGAGCACGCTCGAGCTGTTCCTGGTAGCATTTTACAGCAAGGGTATATTGGCCAAGACCCATGTGCACGGCCCCAATATTTCCGTGGGCTCGACACTCACCCCTTGATAGTTTATGCAACAAGTAATCAAGTTTACACAGTTTACTCAGGAAAGTGATCCACGAGAAGGGGATGATAATAATAACATATATGTGACATTATCGATTGTCGATGCCATTATACGTATTGTGTAACTTTAAACCATATACCATTTAGTATCGATGAAAAAAAAAAAAAAAAATAATAATAATAATAATAATAATAAATAAAATTTTGTCAATTATAGGCGTATTAGAAGGACACGTTCGATATGAGGGAGAAAAATCTTTTGAAAACCCTTTTTTTTTCTTCCCCAATATAAATCATTAAATTTATCAATACGACAAGTACCTCAAATCGCTCTCCTCCTGCTTGAGAGTGAGCTCCTGCGTGTGAAAACCAAGAGCTTTGTCGAAGCTGCGAATCGTCCGGTAGGCCAGTCCGAGGGCTCCGTACGCCGCCGCCTCGAGATTTCGGTCTCCCGCCTGACGCGCGAGACTCAGCTGACGTTGGTGCATCTTTATTGCTTCGTTCAGCTCGCCCAGCCGTGCCAGGCACTCTCCGATGTTACCCAATGCCCGAAATTTTCCGGCAATGTTTGTCGTCATGTGGGCTATGGCTGCGTAAAAAAAAAAAAAAAAAAAAAAAATACAATAATGTGTTAAAACGTCCCCGAGTCTATAGTATTTAATATATACGTTTTACGCCAAAATAAATTAAATTTCAAATGTCTCGTTACAGAAGAAAGTCATGCAATAACCCAACCGATTATATATTTGTTACAATATATTATAATATGTAGGAATTTTCAATGAAAAATGTAAAAATTTATAACGCAATGGATTCAAGTGCATTTTATAAACAGCTATTAAAAATTATGATCATCATGACACGATGACACCGATATACCAAGTTATTTGTAAACAATGTAAAAAAAATGGACACTTGCCTAAATAATACTTTTGGCACTCTAGGGCCGTGTCAATGTTGCCGAGAGCGAGGTGAGCCAGTCCAAGATTGCAGTAAGCTTTGCCCATTCTGGCCTGTCCATCCTCGCCACGCAGATCTTTGGCCAGAGCAAGGTCCTGATCATAGTAGCGCACAGCTTCCCTGTGATTTTCCAAGCAGTAGTGCGCGTAGCCGAGAAAGTGACAGGCTTTGGCTTCGCCTTCAACACACGCACGAGTGATTATTTTAAATAATAATTTTTTTTTAATCAGTGGTATAGTAGGTACATTGTTACACCTACTTAAAAAGTCCCTACGTAATACTTTGAAAACGAGACCAAAGAAAATTAGTGACAAGACTACTGCATCCTGACAAAACAGTATACGTATATATTATACCTTCGACGTCGTGCAGCTCCTGCGAGAGCATAAGGTAGTTTTCGTAGTAGGGTACGGCCTCGTCGAAGCGCGCCTTTGAAGCTAGGCAGTTTGCGAGATTGAGGAGAGCGCAAGCTTCGCTCTCGGCGTCGTGCAATTCGCGGGCTATGGCCAAGTGGGCTCGGTAATGGCGCAGCGCCGACTCGTGGTTCTGCATCGCCTGGTAGGCTACCGCCAGGTTTCCATGGGTGTTAGCCTCGGAGCTCCTATCGTTTACCTGTAAACGAGTTTCTACACCTATTCATTGTGCCAAGTGGTAGCGATGGTGTGATGATAATAATACAATATACAGTTTTTTTTTTTTTTTTTTTCCCAACAATCAATGCAATTCCGTTGAGAATATACAAAGCAACACCGACCTCTTTGCTAATGGCCAGTTCCATCTTGTGATACTGGATCGCTTGCTCGTAGTAGCCAAGCGCGTTGTAAGCGTTTCCGATATTACCACAGGCCCGGCCAACACTTGCCTTGTCCCCGAGAGCGCGAAAGATCCCTTCCGCCGACAATTGTAGCTTGAGAGCCGCGTCGTGGTCACCCATTAGATGGTACACGATCCCGAGGCAGCTGCATGCTCGTCCTTCGGCGGTCTTGTCCTTGGTCGTTAGCGCAATGTCCAACTGACGTTGGTGCCACAATTTGGCTTGTTGCAGATCGCCTATACACACGAGACAACGAGCGTGCATTTTTCATGTTATTATGTACGTACATGAGTAACATGCTGATGATAATGTAAGTTTAACGACACCCGTAGCGTTTTTGGTATTAAGTATAAAAAGTACACAACCTGCGCAACGTGTTGCGTGACCCAAACCGGCGTAACCTCGAGCCTCCATGGCCTTGTCGCCCACTTCTCGCGCTATTCTGAGCACGTTCTTGTGATAGGTCATTGCTTGCTTAAAGTTCCTCTTGTAATGATGGGACGAGCCCAAATTGGTAAATGCTCGTGCTTCCTCTATCTATAATGAGTTTAATATAAATCAAATCCCTTTTTTTTTTTTTTTTTTTCATCCCGGTAATACATGTGTAGGTATATCAATCGGATAATTGAATACATTTCAAACCTTGTCTCCCAGTCGGCGAGATATTCGCAAGTGCTGCGTGTGGCAGTCGATCTGCGAATAAATAATTTTCAATTTCATTGACGATTTCTGTTAAACGCATAGGTACATCCACACTGTCATGTTTTAATTTATTATTGTAACAATTTATAAAGCAAAGGGGATTTTCGACGTCCTTAATACGTGTATCGAGAATAAAGAGGGGCGGGGGGGGGGGAACAAAAAAAAAAGAAAATTTTCGTACGGCGCTGTCGAATTCACCCATGGCGAGATAGACGGCGCCCACGTTGCCTATCTCACGGGCCTCCCGGAGCCGATCGCCGATCTGCTTGACGAGAGCGAGGGCCTGCTTGTGGGAGGCAAGGGCGTTGGGCAGGTCGCCAATGGCCGTGTACATGTGTCCGAGACTCGACAGGGCCGAGGCCGTTGCCTGCGTGTCTTTGATCCTTTGGACAATCCACAACATTTCATTACCATTGATTCTTTTGGGGGAAAAAAACAAGAAAAAAAAAAAAAAAAAAAAAAAAAACACACTTCATCGCTAGGACGAGCTGGTATCGGTGGGCCGTGAGTGCCTCCTCGTATCTGCCCTGGCTAAAGTAGGCCGAGCCGAGGTTTCCGTACGCCCTGCACTCGCCGCTCGTGTCGCCCAAAGAGCGGGCCACCTCTGCTCAAAAGACAATAATGTGCCAATCATCATTCGTTTGTTGGATCGATAGTATTATTGTTATTGTTATTATTATTATTATTATTGTTATTGAATTAAGGGTGCACGTATCTTACCGAGGTCCTTTTGCATGAACCTTATGGCCTTTTCGAGAGAATTGAGAGCCCAGTATGCGCTCGATAGTGCCGAGAAAACGCTGCCGCGCAACTTGAGGCTGCACGAGCCGATGGCAAGGGCTGCCTCGAGCACTCCGGCCGCAGCCCGATATTGGCCGACGGTGCTCGCTTGGCCAAGTAGCTCCTGCCCAACGACCGATATCACGACAAAGGGGGATTCGTCGAGTTTCATGGCGCGCAATTGCTGAAAAGTCGGCTCGAGGGTGACGCGCAACGGGGACTTGAGCGATGCCTCGACGAGGCCCGACAAAAGCTGCCGGTTATCCGGCTCTCGCGCCAACCCGACGCTGAACGCCACGAGGGCCTCCCCGTACCGGCCCAGGCATTGCAATGCCACCCCCTGGCGGTAGTATGCCTATACGGTCATATCATGTATTATTATGATTATTTCATTATTAAAAAACAAATCAAAGGTATGGATGCACGATGACTGCTTCGTGTTCGTACTTTGGGCCATTCGGGGCTCAGCTCGGTGGCTCGGACGGCGTCCTGGAGGGCCTGCGCGAACATACCCATCTTGAGGTAAGCGGCCGATCGGTTCGAGTAGAGAACGTGGCTGAGGGGATCGAGGGCCAGGGCCTCCGTGTAGAGGGTAGCCGCGAGCCCATAGTCCCCATTTTGGCAAGCTGCGTTGCTTCTGCGCACCGTCTCGAGGAAAAGGGTCCGCGAGCCCACTGCCAGAGCCGACGAACCTTCGGGCTCCACCTGTACATTAAACATTTATCATATATTATATTATATAAAGCCCTCATGCAGTATCATCATCAAAATCGTCATCAACATCCAGTGCATTCGTTCTAAAAACGCGAGTTGAGTTGCAAGAAAAAAAAAAGAAAAAAAAAAAATAATCATTCACCATATGGGGTTAAATTATAAACTTAAATAGGGGTGCCGATCGTCCCAATAAGTGGGGTGAATAAGCGTCGTTACAAATATGTTGGGAAACATTCGCCCGTCAAAGTGAAAGAAGTATAGGTACGGGTCCCGCGTGCAGGTGCAGAGAGGCCCGTTTCTCCTGATCGTTAGGCTGTATAGGTCCCCGATTGCAGGAAAAAAAGAAAGAGAAACAGGTACAATATTACCTGTAGCAGTGGTAGTGCAAACAATGAAAAAAGAAATAACATACAATGGGTAATAAACTTGTGCTCGATTTATACATGTATTATGAGCGACAGTGCAGATTTGAGCCAAAAGGAACGATCAAGTATTACATGTACACTATATACCTAGTACTTAGTGGGTACTTGACGAACCTCAGAGATATCCCTGTGAGACATTGCTTTATAGGACGGTGCGTTAGCATGCTTCAGCTTCGAGGGCATTCATTATCCGCGAGAGCACCGGAAAAACCTAAGGTATCCGGTAAGGTCCGCTATCTACACCCAAAACGTCTTTATAGTTTTTTTTTTTTTTTTTTTTTTTTCCTCCTCTTCTCCACAACACTCCCAACTCGTCGTCCTGACCTTTTCTCTCAATCACTGTGTGCAACAGGTACACGTATACCTCTTCCTAAGAGAGATTAAATTAAGGGTAAGTAGGAGGAGGGAGAGAGAGACGCTGTATCCGTCCCTCCGCGGATCGGCCTCTTTCTCTCCTCACTGGAGCTCTTCTTCACGGTCTCGTGACTACAACACTACCTAGTAGGTGATGAATGAAAAATGGAAAGAGTAATTTGTTGAACGACGAAAAGAAGAAAAAAAAAAAAAAAAAAAAAAAAAAATCATGATGTCAGCAGCGCACTGAAAACCGCTTAAACACAACACTGACACTGCACGGCAAGTATCCTGCTCTCCTCAATATTTAATAGCAGATATTACAATTGCAAGAATCGGCGAGTCGCGAGATGAAAATGTGAACGCGAATAGCGACGCCGAGCAGCGTAAAAATCATACTTAAACTATACAACCTATTGGAATTACAATATTATACTTGATATTGTCCCGTGAGTAGGTATAAGTATTTGCACAAACGGGTAAATTAAGTGAGTATTTGCTTGGTGATCCCACGGCCGCGAGCTGCATATCGGCAGCGGCTCTCTTATTGCCAGCCAGTGCCCTGCTTTCTTAGGGCCACTGTTGCGTGTGCTTTGGTTACCGCTGCGAGTAAAAGGGAGGGGGGGGGGCCAAGCATTCCTCGGGCGCAACCACAGCCATCTTGGAATGTGACCCCGGGCCTCCCTTTGGGCCCGCGGCGCTACATTATCCTCATAAATATAGGTATATAATGTGATGCTCTCCGAGTCGAGCTCGAGCTATACTATAACAGCTCTCGGCACCTGCTTTTTCTCCTGCACGAATTAAGTATTATTATATATTATAGATTGCGATGGGCCTCTCTGTGTATATAGCCGGACAGCGTTGCAGCGTGTCTCCCGCAGCCACTCTGCCAAAATAATGTACAACTACTTATATTATATCTGACAGCCGCGGCTCATTGCATAGTAAGTATGGGTGTAACAGAACCGACTTAATTGTGTGTATGGTGACTTTTGGACTTGGACGCTCCATCGAAAGTATAAATAATGATCCATTTTTTTCTTTTTCCTTCATTCGTTTGACACCCACAACAGTCACTTATGATATGACAAATCATTTCTTTTGGGCTCAAACATAATATAACATAGTACATCCATTAGTACGTTATAATAGAGTAAGTACCTTGTTGGTCAACAACTCTTTTTTTTTTTTTTTTTTTTTTTTTACAATTAACTGTTGACGACTCTCCCATTAGATTTTTTCTCTTCTTTTCGCCTGCAGCATGACAGTACCCAATAAGTATCCCGTTGTTGGAAAAATTTTTAATCATCTCGAAATTCTTCATCATCTTGAACATTGCATGTTTGGGTCATATTATTCTTTACTTTGAATTCATTCACAAATTAGAAAAGAAAAAAAAAATAATAATAATAAATAGAAAAAAAATTGCATGCACGCAAACAAGTAGTCCTCCAACATTGTAATCACGGTCCAGGCTATCCAATATGTATACCTACGGTTTTATTGCGTTCTTTTACCACCTCGAAATAGGTTTCATACAAACGCGCAACGATGTATGTTCATGTATAAGGCGATGGAATGCAACCTTGCGAAAATGTATATACACCGAGGACAAGACATTACCTATAAACAGGTATTTTTACACGCCTTGACGTGGACGAATTTATTATTAGTCCCCAATAAAAAGTAATAACGATAATCAACTTTTACATTTACATTATAGTGTGATTTCTTATAACGATGCCTCGGGAAAAAACTGAGCCTGAGAGAAAATAAGACTCTGGCAAAAATTACCGACTCTCTTGCAATTACCTGAAAGTGAAATGAAATAAACATTTTTCGGGAACTTTGTATTTGTGTTTTAATAATTCAAAAACAAAACAATGTACCAACAAAAATTTTACAATTTCCAAAGAGTAATGTATATTAGCGAAAAACACACAATAAAGCGGAAAAAAGTTTTTCGACTTTCCCCCTTTCAGTCCATTTTTTTACTTCTTACCTTAAACCATGTAACGTTAACACGCTGTTCTTAAAATTTCAGTTCCATTTCAGTATGAATACGAGACAGAATAATGTTCATGGGTGTATACATTCGAAATAAAAAGTCACTTTTTTAAAATTTGTACTTTAATAACGTTTCGAAAAAACACTACATTTACGGTGTATTCTCTTCGCCTCCTTTATCTTATCAAAACTATTATTGCCCTGTTTTTCGTTATTTTATTACGTATCCATTAATAAATTAATTATTTAAACTATAAAACTGAAAGTTTTTTTTTATTTTACAAGAAAAATGTACAATATATTCTCACAAGTTGATAAACAACAAACAAAACGGTAAATAAAAATCACTTGGCGGCTTTTTATGCATAACTTACGAAAATTATAGGCGTATTAGAAGGACACGTTCGATATGAGGGAGAAAAATCTTTTGAAAACCCTTTTTTTTTCTTCCCCAATATAAATCATTAAATTTATCAATACGACAAGTACCTCAAATCGCTCTCCTCCTGCTTGAGAGTGAGCTCCTGCGTGTGAAAACCAAGAGCTTTGTCGAAGCTGCGAATCGTCCGGTAGGCCAGTCCGAGGGCTCCGTACGCCGCCGCCTCGAGATTTCGGTCTCCCGCCTGACGCGCGAGACTCAGCTGACGTTGGTGCATCTTTATTGCTTCGTTCAGCTCGCCCAGCCGTGCCAGGCACTCTCCGATGTTACCCAATGCCCGAAATTTTCCGGCAATGTTTGTCGTCATGTGGGCTATGGCTGCGTAAAAAAAAAAAAAAAAAAAA